ACTTATTTTTTATTTATACAATAGTAGTAGCCAAGTTTAATTTTATTTTCGAACTTGCATCTGGATTTGCATATATCCAGATCGATTTTTCTGACCAAACTAGTCTGAAGCTGGTGACCACTACTGCAAATTTCTGTATGTAATATTCTATTGTACCTATAAAATGCAAGACGAAATTGACACTAAAGCTTTGGCATATGCCCAAAAGCGTGAAGGAAGATGCTTAGCTAAAGTTAGTCCTAACACATATTTATGGGCATGTAAGAAAAAACATCAATGGGAGGCGTCATATAAAAATATGAAACAGAATTACCGATGGTGTAATATTTGCCTAATGTACCGAAAAGAACATGCCGGTATATATTTGAGGATTTATTACATAAAAAATTTCCTCTTTGAAAACCCAAATTCTTAAAAAGGTTACATCTAGATGAGTATAATGAGGAGCTAGGCTTGGTCTTTGAATATAGTGGTAATCAGCATTATCAAATCGTGCCTTTTTTTCACCCGCAAGGGCAGATGAATCTAGATGCACAAATTTGTCGTGATTGGGAAAAGAGGGCATTATGCTACAAGGAAGGAGTGATTCTCATTACTATACTCTACTGTGTAATAGACTTAGAAACTTTTATAAGGAGCGCCTTATATGCATTCGGTTATCTCTCAATACCCACCTAGGAGGCAACATAGGCTCTTCCTTAGTATGTATTAATTGTTCTCTTACAAAGAGACGCCGAGGTCCTGATTTATCTAAATAATATAAAATAGGCATGGGAGGATTTTTTCCAACAACAATTCTTCAAATTTTATGTAGGCTGGGAGACCATATTGGATCTGTGATTCTTCGTTGTTCGAAAGGATCATTTTCACATTCTTCAGGAGCAAGCAAAAATCAGATAGTAGTACCCTTTGATAGTCGTGATTCATTAACACCTATTGGATGATTGTATTTTACTGATGGTTTGGAATACACCCGCTCAAGTTTTGTGGCATCATTGGGACTCATTCCAATTAACCGAGTAGGAGTATCATTCATGTTATTAACAATTCTTCTTGCAAATCATTTGCATTCTTTACAGCGTTCACCGGTAGGTAAGAGAAACTCTATTGCATACTGGTTTTTAAAAACCCTTAATTCAAATGATCTGGCATAATGATCAACTATAGCCAAGCTTGTATGCCTGAAACGTGCTTTAATTCTTCAGATGTTAACATTGTGTTCATCCATTATCAATGTCACGCTTCCCATGAACTCACGACCTTCGTCACATTGCAATAGCCGAGCCCAGTTAAGAGGATTGTCAGGATTATCATATATACTCTTAAATGCTTTCGCGACTTCTTCACTACTTTTTGATGTTAAAAAAACAAAATCTTTATATC